CTGCGGGGAAGTCAAACTCGAAGCCATGGAAAGGTATCTTCGCGCTCCGATTTAGCTGAATGTTCTCCTTTGGCCAATCAGTGAAAACTGATGTAGCTTTTACATGCAATCTTTAGCGGAGCGAGATATGTAAATTTATCTTACCCTGGAAAGGTATCTTTGCGCTCCGATTTATCTGAATTACCTCCTTTGGACAATCGATGTAGAATTGATTTAGCTTTTCAACGCTATTTTTTGCGGAGCAAGATATGTAAGCCCCTGACAGACTGACTGACTGACAGCAGTGAACACCTGGCTCGGCCCCCCGAATGGCGCTTCGCGTCCGGGGCCTCGCCCAAAAATGGAGAAAAAGCAAACAAGGTCCCAAACAAGGATAAGTCGGGTGTCGGCTTCCTCGAAGCCGGAAAAAAGCGGGCCCCCCTGCATCCGTACAGGCCGGTAGCTAGCGCGGCACGTGTGACAATTGATGGGTAGTGTCAACACGGTGGGAGACGTGCTTTGTTGCAGCAGTGCTGATGGTGTGAGAGCTAAGCTTGCACCGGCGGAACCGTCAGCACCGCCTGCGGGCTCCACGCGAATCGCATCCATCCCATGTATGGTTGTTGGTGCATTAGAAATTACAAATAATATTACAATTAAACTAATTAGAATTCTAATGAGAAAGTTAGAAGACCCCTTTAGAACAGATTAGAACGTTCTAATGTCGTACACCCATTAGAATGGCTATTCAGGCCGCCTCCGCAGCTGATTTACATCCGGCAGAACCGGAAGGCCTTGCAGATGGAGCGGTGTGGGATGGATGAGGAGGTGCTGATGCAGCTGCTGGAGGGGCTGGACGTGCAGGGGGAGTGAAGGAAGGGGCCGTGGAAGCCTTGGGGCAATTTGCATGAGTTGATGAGGATTTTGCTAGAAGTTTTGGGGCGACAGGTTTGGCATGTCCAGACTGTGTGTTGGGTGTTGCTTTGCAGACAATTAGGACTGGACTCTTGGACTCTTGGTTCAGGTACCAAAGATGTTGGGAAGGCGTACGCAGAGACAGTTTAAGACAGTCTAAGACAGTTTAAAGGCGAAATTAGTGACCCAGAGGTCACTTCGACCGGGGGTTTGGCTGAGAAGTCCTGCTTACGGGTGTCGTAGCCCCGTAAAAACCGTTAAAAACACCTGGGTTAGCATCTGCCGTAACCATGGTGAAACTCCGAAGTGAAAAGTCCCCCTCCCTGAGAAGTTACCCCAGGTCTTCTAATATTATTTCTAACGTTCTAATTAGAAATAATATTATAGTTAGTAGAGAACGCCTGAAATTCTAATAATTTCAACAACCCTAATCCCATGCCGCATGGACAGTGCGGCAGACCGCAAGTCGGAATGCCCGTGCGGGCAAATGGTAACGAAAGCTGGGTGAATTTCGGTGCTGTCTGTGATGTTTATCCCCGAAGCGCCAGCGGCCTCAGCAATCCGCCCCACAGCCGCGGGCTTCATCGGGGCACACCGCAAGTCTCCGGAGGCCCCGAGCATTGGCTAAAGTAAATGTACATATGCGCAGCTTGCGTATTTCATAGAGAAATGTAAGCAAATTTGTCGGCCTGCTGGTGGCAAGTCGGAATGCCCGTGCGGGCAAATGGTAACACAAGCTGGGTGTTCAAGTTATCATACGCTGTCATCTCGGAAATCAATGATGAGTTACCCGGCACCTTTTTGAGATGAAATTTAGCCCGAGAGGCGTTGATGTGACTATGAGCTCGGTCAATGGAGGCAGCCCAAGTTGTTTGTGCTCATACGATCTTTGTTAGCTACATGCGAGATACCTTGCAATAGAGAATGCTATATAGTACCGATAACGCGTTTCAGCCGGGTGAAATATTATGTTTGGTCCGTTACACACTCAAGGCCTGGGAGTTTGAGCTATCATACGCCGTCATCTAAGAATTCAATATGAGATACGCGGTACCTTTTGAGATTAAGTTTAGCCCGAGAGGCGTTGTGACTTTCGCGTTTCAGCCGGGCGAGATATTATGTTTGGTCCGTTACACACACACACACACACACACGGACATGGGCAATCCTACAGGTCAGGGGCCCCCTGGGCGCTTCGCGCTGGGGCCCCGCCCAAAAATGCTACCTTCCCTTCATGCATGACGGTGTAGCACGTGACAGGTATCTCAAGGAAAGCACCATGCTAATCGTTTTGGGTTCATCATTTAGTAAGTGTTGTTTTGCTTTTGTTTTGAATGCAGCCCCCATACACCCGCACAGCAAAGTCTCTGACCACTTCTTTGCCAATGACCGTCTATCGAGCCTGTTTAACAGGTCAAGCTTAGGTGCTGCACGGACTTGCCATGCCTCCTCATTATTTAGGCACTTACATGACCATCCCATTGCAGGCGCACTGTCTGTCTGCATCATGTTGCATTACTTCACAATCAAGTGCCGCGTGCCAGGATCGACATCCTTTTCCCCTCCTCCATCCCACAGGTTCATGTCCAGGGCAAGGTCAACATGCAATCACACTACACTCCAATCCAGGAGGTCCATGCCAGCCTGTGCCACCTGCCCTCAAAGTACACAATTGCAATGACTTCTCACACCCTTGCTTGCCAAACAATCTACTCATACAGCATCACTTTGCTGCCCCAGCGCGCCTCCCTTCCTGAAAGCAGTACACCCACTGTTGAGCTGCAAACACCTCACAGCCAGCACCCCCAACAGCAGTCCAACACATGCAGGCCCGTTCAGAGATGCCAAGGCATGTATTCAGCCGTACACAAGTGTACACATATTCAGCCGTACAAACCTACTCTGCCCATGCTACCACTCATATCTGTAGCTGTTTCCTTGTACAACTCAGGGCACTTACAGATACATGCCCATCTGTGCCTATATCTACACAACCTGCAACACCAGCAAATGAGCAAATGCCCAGCAATGACCAGTCCCCAGGTACACACCAGCTGCGAGCCCAACCGTTAACATGAATCTGCATGTCTAGAGGGCCCAATAAGGCATCATGCCATGGTGACCAAGACAAGCAAAGCCACCGACTAGATTTCTAAGCCTCTGACGTTCACAACCTTGTGCCCACATCCACAGCGGCCACCATACCAGCCATCACCAGCGGATGCAGCTGCCACAGCTGCAGTGGCGACACCATCA